ATTTGTCTGCACACTATCGCATGGGGTTGGTTTCAAAACTTTTGTTACCTTTACTGCTTATGAAGGAGGAAGTTATTTTGGCATAAGATTCGATGCCCTAGAGGTATGAGAGGCTAGAGATGATGGGATCTATCTCACAAATGACAATCACCATGGAAAGTTAATGTATACTTGGTAATATCTTAGTCTCCAAGCAATATTGTTATGTTTTACTTACTGGATATTTAGATGAAGTGCATAGCCTTTCTATCAATCCATTAATGTATTACGTTCATTTTGGAGATTGATAGAATTTCATATATTGTTGTAATGATAAGATGGTTTTATTTGTAAGTTCTTTGATGTCTCATTAAGAACCTCGTCAGAGCATCATTATGGGCATAATTGCCAAGATGCATATTAGGGGATGTATATTATATAAATAATGTAATAGTTCATATCTTAACGTATTTGGAATTCAGAGCAAAATATATATTTCATTGTATAATCTTAAAAGGTGTTGGGCTTCTGATTCAACAAATGGGCAATGAAAAAGTGAAAAAACTGTCTCATTAAAAACATTGTCAAGAAAACCCATTGGGACAAAACTTGACAAGGGAGAAAGAGTACAACTATGACATTTTCCCATTGTTGAATCAATTAGCTTGAATAAAAAATAAAATAGTTTGACAAGCTTTTCCTCCATACTTGATGTTTTGTTCGTGTTGGTTTCGAATTCGATTGAGTAATCATTTAACAGCTTGGTTAAGCATTTTATTTCTTGAGCGAGTAATTGGATTAATTGGTGTGACCAGAGCATCCTCGGCTAAAAGTTTATCGCTCACTATGAGCTGCTTCTCTTCAGCTACGAGCTCAGCTTCTTCATATTCCAACTTTGGTTCATGCTCTATTTTCTTAGTACTATCCAGGATCATATCATCCCTTTCCTCTTGAAAAGGATTTGACATCAAATATGTTTCCTCTGCAATAAACGGTACTAGGTCAGAAATATTGAAGCTAGAACTCACATAATACTTACCTAGCAAGTCGAATTATTAGGCATTGTTATTAGCATGTTTGACTATCTTGAATGGACCATCGATTCTAGGCGTGATTTTGGAGTTTCTTTCATTGGTAAACCACTCCTTTCTAAACTGAACCCAAACTTGGTCTCTGGCATTGAATATCAGTTCACGTCTCCCTTTGTTAGCTTGCTTAGCATAGAGCTTGGTATTTTTTTCTATGTTCTTTTTAGCATTTTTATGAATCTGTTGCACAAGCTTGATACTAGGATTTTTAAGTCCTTGGAGTTCAATCTCCCCAATGTAATGTAGTACAAAGGATTTATCGATCTAATTGGGTCTAAACAATCATAATTACAACAGAAGCTAACAAGTTAAGCAAAATAAAATTATGGTTTTCACTATCAATCTTAATAAGGTTACTAGAACATGTAACAGTAAACACTAAACATAAAGAAACTATAGAAGATAGACTAAGCATGCAAGAACTACAAAAACTTAAATGAAACAAGTAAAAAATCAGGAGGATAAAGGTCTCAAAAATGGGGTTTGGTCACTGAACCTTCTTAAATCTCAATGGGGTGCTTAACATACTCAAACAGATCTTATCCTAAAAATGAACCTTTTAAACTAATCAATCCAATATCTTGGCAGAAATTATCAAGTCTAAAGCACTTCCTAATCTCAAATCTCTTGATGAAACATAAAATAAACATGAAGGATATGCGCTAGTTTATCTTTATGCACCTCTCCAAGTCAACATTTTACTTCTCAAAAACTTATTTAAATACTTCGACAATTACTTCATTCGATACAAACCATGGATCATGAACAATGCCAAAAGAAAATAGAGTTGGTGAATTTATTTTTGGACAAGAGTTGACAAGTTTTTTATATGTCGTGGGGGTGTTTCATTCAGGAGGAAATGACTGCTGCACTTACATTTGGAGTATCAACACTGGTCAAATCCTGTATGAAAGTAAATTCACAAACTTTGTCCCTTCATTTGTGTGGAATTATGGTATGCGAAAAGGCTTAATGAATTGATTTGGCCAGCTAAGTCACTAAAGTTTACTTATCTTTTCGGTCAAAGGCTGAAAGAACTCCACAATTAAGCATGTTTATGCTGGAGTAGTCTAATGATGGGTGACCTTACGGGATGTGATTGCCGAAACTGTGTGAGTGAGACCAAAACACAGGAAAAAATCATGTGGTTATTTTAGGGTTGGTAAACAAGTCTTTAAAGCCTCGAGGACATAGCAAACCGACCGTCGGATATGGATGGGCTCACGGGCCTTGTGAGAGGACGGGAAGCCCATTAAGAGAAGTGGACCCATTGACCAAGAGTTAACATGGGACCCATTGAGAGAAGTGATGGTCGGGGCGTTACAAGTGGTATCAAAACCGAACTCAGACGAGTGTAGAATAATGGGCTCACACCGTTTGGGGGTGACAGTCTTGGTGTGCAACCAAGACATTGGGGTCTGGTAGTGGGTGAGAATTGTGGAACCCTTATTTGGGGTGAGACTTAAATGAATTAATTTGGCCACCTATGTCACCATCGTGCACTTATATTTTCAGTCAAAGGTCCTCAGATAACTCCACAATTAGTCTATTTAAATGATTCATCTAGATGATCTATTTGGATGCTAAATGCCTAAACGAACAAGAAATAAAATAACTCATCTCGATGATCCATTCAGATGGAGATGTGTTTGGTTCTCCATTTTGCTTATCCATCTAGATATATTTGATTTTTAAAATGACTAAAATACCCATAATTTAATTATTAATCTAATATATATATATATATATATATACACCTTTAAATTTACAAAGGAATATTTTGACATTTTAAATTTCTAATTTTATAGAATATAAATTTTGTTAAGAGTTACAATATTTTGCGGTTTTGCCTGGGAAACGTGATTTTGCGTTTTGGCGGAAAAATGTGTTTTTAAGGTTTTGATTGGAAAACGTAATTTTGCGTTTTTAGCGGAAAAATGTGATTTTATATTTTTGGCAGAAAACGTGTTTTTGCGGTTTTGACTAGAAAACGTAATTAAGTGTTTTTGGCGGGAAAATGTGATTTAGTGCTTTTGGTGGGAAAACGTGATTTTGCGTTTTTGGCGAAAAATGGTGATTTTGCATTTTTTGCGGAAAAGCGGAAAAATGTAATATTATGTTTTTGGCGGAAAAATGTAATATTATGTTTTTGGCGGGAAAATGTGATTTTGTGTTTTTGGCAGGAAAATGTGATTTTGCGTTTTTGCGAGAAAACGTGAATTTGCGTTTTTGGGGGAAAATGTGATTTTGCATTTTTTGGCGAGAAAACGTGACTTTGTGTTTTTGGCGGGAAAATGTGATTTTTGTGTGGTTTGGAGGAAAAACAGAATTTTTCATTTTTGGCGAGAAAACTTATTTTACGGTTTCTACAAATAAAATATAGATATTTGCAAAAATATTATTTATAATTTTGTAGAGAATAGATTATTAGAAATTAAGAGTATATTTTTCATTTGTCATTTTGGATGAATCATCTTCATCTAAACGATCCAATTAAAGTCATCCAAATGCCTTTCAATATTTTGCCTAAAATTTTAAAACTCATCTAGATGGATCATTTGGATGATTCTGGATAATGTTCATTTTTTTATTTAGACGAACAACATCCAGATGATCCATTCTGACGGACCATCTAGATGGAGAAACGAACAGGGCTTAAGCGTGTTTTTGTTGGAGTAGTTCAAGGATGGGTGACTGTCCGGGAAGTGATTGTCACAACTGTGTAAGTGAGGCCAAAACACAAGGAATATCATGTGGTGATTTGTAGGGTCGATAAACAAGTCTTTAAAGTCTCGTGGACATAGCAAGCCGACCGTCGGCTATGGATGGGCTCACGGACCTTGTGAGAGGACGTGAAGCCCATTAAAAGAGGGGACCCCAAAGACTAAGAGTAATTATGGGGCTCACTGGGAGAGCTGACGGTCGGGGCGCTACATGTTGTGTGTTGGTCTGCTGTTGAAAGTACTTGCTCACTTATTTTTAACTTGCTCCTTGAATTGTCTTTCCTCTTTTATCTCTAGTGGAAACTGAAACTTGAATGGTTGGATTTTCATGTCAAAGAGACTAGAATGGTAGCATTGTTCATGGGGAATGGCTTGCATCGAATGAAGCAATAATCGAAGTATTTGAATAAGTTTTTGAGATGGAAACTGTAGACTTGGAGAGGTGCATAAAGATGAACTAGCACAGACAATGAGACTAGCATGTCTCTATTGTAGTTTGTTTTAGGAAGTTGCAGAAAATAGAGTTTTCTAGACATTTTAAATGTTATAGTTTGTATTTTCACCACTAAATTATTAGAGGAAATAATAAAATTTCTTAGTATGTTTAAACTTCAAAGATTTCACATATTTTTTGAAATCGAATGCTGTGACATGTGACGCAAAGAAATTATGTTAACATGATTAAAATTGATGAAGACTATGTAAACTGATGAGGAAATCAAGAACGATGAACATAGTTTCAGTCTTTTGTGATTCAAGTCTACAAATCAAAACTACTGTCTGAACAATTTCTTCTATGGAATTTCCTCCATTTATTTATGTTGTCTAATATAATTTCTTAGACAAATTATCATTGAAACCATATATTAATTATTAAAATATTTTTTTTTTTTTTATTTTATTTTAAGTGTTAATTGTAGATATAATTCCTTATGCAAACTATCCTCTCGACTTACGGTTTCAAACTATCCTCAGTTTACATTCTTAAACTTATCACTCTTTGGTAAACATAACTATCTATTAACCTTTACATATAATTCAACAAACCTAACTAAAATCATCATTTTGGTTTAGTAAACCGATAACCACGTTTTATTGAAACCATGATTAGCAGTTTTGATCCAACTCCAACTTTTGCAATGTTGATTGTAAAATTTGTTAATTTATTAATTTGAAAATTTGGAGAAAACAAAAAGGAAAAAAAAAAATCTAAATTTGGAAAGTTCTATAACGTTTATTAAGTGGAGAATAATACCATTGTCATTTTACATATCAATATATCTTCTCTTTGATTATAAGACTCAAAGTCGTGAATGAGGAGCCAAGAAAGGATAATCTGTGTAGCCAACAACTGGATCTTGAGTATAAAACGTCTTTCGATTATATTTGTTCAACTTTTCATCAATCTTGAACCGCGAAACCAAATCCGGATTTGCAATAAACAGCCTTCCATATGAAACCAAATCAGCATCACCTTGTTGAATAGCTTGCATACCTAGTTCCTTGGTGAATCCTCCACTAGACATAAAGGTTCCATTGTAAGCCGTTCGCAAGCTCCTCATTAGCTTAGCTTCTTCCTCGTCACTACCTTGCCTTCCCGACTCGGTTTGTCCATAGGCGTGGTAGCGAGGCTGCGTTACATGAAGGTAAGCGAGTTTTGAGCCATTAACATCTTGTAACTTATTAAGTAAATCAACCACGGCTAACCCGAGGGATAATGGGTCAGTATCAGTTGCGTCCATGTGGTCTATTGCTGGAGATACCCTCACAGCAACTTTACTAGCTCCTATAGCTGAAACCACACCTTCCACTACTTGTTTTAAGAATCTACAACGGTTTGCAATAGAGCCTCCGTATTGGTCCGTACGGTCATTTATTCCGTTTTTCAAAAATTGATCAATGAGGTAACCATGCGCCCCGTGGATCTCAATTCCATCGAAACCAGCTCGGATCGCATTCAAAGAAGAGCGGCTATAATCCTCCACCACTAGAGGTATTTCGGAAGCTTCTAGTGCTCGGGGTTTCGGGTACTTCCCGTGTGATCCATCCGGTAAAAGAATTCGCCACCTATCCGAGATGGGTTTGTTCGTTGACGATATTGGCGAGACTCCATTAGGTTGGTACACTATATAAAGACTCAAAATGTTATTGTTTCCCAATACCTTAAAGATTAAAAGTACATGTCAATGAGAGGAGTCATATAAACCTGGATGAGAAGCACGACCAACATGCCATAGCTGACAAAAGATGAAACCTCCCTTAGCGTGAACTGCTTCCACAACTTGCTTCCATGCCTCTACTTGTTCATCTGAATAGATTCCAGGTACATGTGGGAACCTGAAAAACGTTATTTATATAAGTTTGATTCCTTAAAACAACAATACAAGTCTTGTCACTTTAAGTTATTTGAGATGCAATGAAACATTTGCTTTGTATTGTTTCATATAAATCATGATTCTTTTTTTTATTTGACTTTTCTTTGAATGTGGCTTAGATTGATCTAAACCTCTCCATTCTTATCACACCACACAAAGACACAACTATTAGTAGGTCCTGTCCTCCACATTCCTTATAGTGACAAGACAAAATAATTCAAAATGCACACGATTTCTTTTATCGTGAATAATGATTAAGTATATCCTAAAAAGGTGAAACAAGCAAAAATCATTTTTTTTAAACTTTTAACCACTAAAAATTATTAGTCACTATATTAAGTTCATGGATTTCTAATTTAAAACCATATCCTTTTAGTTTAGATGTAGAATTTCTAACAAAATAAACAACCACTAATTAACAAAATACTAATATATTTTTTCAATATAGTCAATACTAATATATTTTTTCAATATAGTCACATTTATTTTAGATGTAAAATTTCTAACCAAATAAACAAGAACCTCTAATTAACAAAAGACTAATTTATCAAAAACCTCTATTTTTACCTCGATATAACAGTAGTAAATGATTATAGTTTTTTTACCTTGTCGTCCTTCTCTATATATATTTAAATTCTAATATACTGCTAATATGATAAAAACAAAAAGAAATACAAACAAGTAAATAAATAAAACTAATATATATTTATTTAATATATTTTAATAATAATCAGACTGTTTTTTGTTTTGTTTTATAAGACAGAACCAGATTGATTTCTTACAGTACAGTTTTACTTGACGTCATCTATGTTCTTGTCTTAACAATAAGTTAAAAAGACGAAATTACCCTGCGGATCCGGGAGAGACCATAGTGCCTTCGGTAATGAGAAAGCCACCAGGAGTAGTTCGTTGAGCATAATACTCCGCCAACGCCGCGTTTGGAACACCGTTCAACGCCCTGCACCGCGTCATCGGCGCAAGAACCACTCTGAAAACGCAAACGCAATCGCCTTTTTGATGATATTACATAACAAAACACTTACAAGAACATCAAAAATCAATTGAGCTTATGAACTCACCGATGAGATAGATCGAATCTTCCCATCTTGTAAGAAGAGAAGAGTGTCTCGTGTGCCGTCGTCATGTCTCCACCGATCTGAGATCAAAAGAAAAAGATCAGATCTGATAAATCAACGGTCAATAAAAAACGTTTGATTGGTAGTTGGATATCTTGATTAGAAAAAGACAGAACACAAGTCTCTTGAGGAGTTTACCGTTTTGTGTTATTTGGAAACTGAAAAATTGTAAGTGAATGTGTTTGTGTTGTTGTGTGGACTGTGGGGAACTGATAAATTTTATACCAAAAAAAAGAGTTGTGGTTGATTTTAGTGGACCGGAGGAGGAACGTTACTTGGCATCTTCGATCAAAACCGACCATTACTTTCACGTGCTGAATTGTTTTATGATTAAGTTTTGTCCGCGTGAGATATTTTTTTTCTTTTTATTTTTTGGTTCATGAAATAAATTATTCGATTGTTGTTGATATAAAATTAACCTATTTGATCAATTGATGTGTGAAAAAATCCCAGAATATAAATTGTAAACAGAAATTTTATATTTCACTATAAGAAAATACTCGCAATAATTGTAAGGTTTCATCTGACAGCCTCGCAATATTTGTAGCAATTTGCGAGGAAAAAAATAGTAGCAAATTACTTGCAATTAACTGGTCTTGCAATTCCCTAGCATATTTTGCGAGGCTTTTATGAATGTTTTGTTCCTAGCAATTGGTTAATAGTCGAGATTATTCATTTATGATACATATCTAATATTTATTTGTTTGGTTTTATATTTATTTAATTAATTAAATCTAACAATAATGAAAATAGAAATTAGAAATTGAATTATGATAAAATATATATATAGTTGAGACAAAAAAAAATTGTAGGTTTAAGTCATTACAACCGTGGAACACCAAAAAGTAAGTCTTACACATAAGACTTCTGAGTTCATACCATAATAACAAGGGTTCATATCAAGAGTTCAAATTAATGATCATGGCAGAGCAGGTTCCGATGTGGTTATTTGCAGTGGCAGCTCCAGTCTATTTTGTCGTGTCAGATGCTGTCTTTGTCGTCTCAGCTTGGTTTCCAAATCGAAACCTTACAGCAAACTCTGGATCCTTCTCAGCTAAGTATCCAAAATAAGCTTCATAGCTGATAACCTTCTCAGAACTCTGCTGAAAAAGAGCTTCTGTTGCTGCTAGCTTTTCCTTAAGCCACCGGATCATCATCAGTTGGAGCATGTGGTGCACCAGTTGGGCTGAAGACGCTTCAGCTTGCAAAGAACCAACCCCATATATAAATGATGTTCTTCTTCTTTGGGGCAACCTGGCAACAAAGCATATAAACTGTAATTACCAACACAAAATAGAACTATCACCGGTCTCTGGATCTCTAGAATTGTACATCCTATCCATCTCGTATTGTGTATATCTCATGCTCCCCGGTGGTATACTACAAGAAAACAACTACTTAGGGACTGCATGTTGCGACTGAAAGTGGAGTCGCTAACTATTGCGACTGAATGGCCACTGTCTTGTCACTTAATAGCCACAAAAAAAGATTTAGTCGCCAAACAGTCGGTAGTTTGAAACTGATTCACATAGTCGCAATATAGTCTCAAATGGGCGACTACATTTTGCGACTGCTGTTGTAGTCGCTAAATGTAGCGACTAATTAGCTACGGATTATTGACTCTCCTTTTCATTTGGGCTTGCGAACCAAATTAATTGGCTTTGGATTTGGCCTATTGTGGCCCAACCTCGCTTTTTCTCTCGTCTAAAGGCACCCACTCAAACGAGAAAAGCTAATCGATAGAAAATAAAGATATATATTTTATTTTAAAAAATATTATTTTCAAGATGGACCAATGAGAGAGCAGAAAAAGTTACTTTTATACTCCCTCCGTTCTAAATTATAAGATTTTAAGCATATTTTCAGTTTTATAGGGTTTTCCATACTTTTATGCATCATTTATGTTTATTTTGTATGTTATGAAAATTTTTATTCTCCGGTCTTTTTTTCTAACGATTAGTTTTTCTGAATAAATATTTAATTAAATCTATTTTATTTAAAAATAATAAAACATTTATGGTTTCTTAAACATTGTCAAAAAATCTCTCTTTATTTAACTTGTTTTCTCTGTATATGACATATTTTATTTTCGTCAACTTTTGGGTGTATTTTCATCGAATTTGTAATTGTATAACTTTAAACAAATGATACTATTAGTTAGGTGTAATTTAATTTGTTGTAATTAGAAAATCTCATTACATACAACTCAATGTGTAATCAAATCTATACTATTAATTGAGAAGGACAACTTAAAGCCAAACACCCCCAATTTTAAAAATAAATTTCATGAAAATAAAACCAGTTGCCAAACAGAATTAATGACAGCAAAAAAAAAGAACAAAAAAAAAACAAAAACAATCTATATTTATGGAAATCATAATAATCTTTTACCATAAAAAGTGGACAATTAAATTCAAAACTAAATATATGTAAACAAATATATTTCGAATATACATAAACATATTTATTATTAATTTAATATTTT